TAAATAAATAAATAAATAAATAAATAAATAAATAAATAAATAAATAAAATAAACTTATCTGTGGTCTATAAAAAAAAAGATTTTTGGACCTGCACGCACATGCACCCTGCATGGTTTTTAAGCCTCTGGGTCTAGGCCTCCAACTGATTGTCAGCCATGTGGGATCCAGCTGCCACACCACTGGCTGGCCCCAATTTCTTAAATTCTATGATCAAACTTTTCATATTATAGATTTTCATATAAACAAATTTACAGACCAGTTTAAAAAAACAACAGTCAGCCAGCTGATGGTTTGATGATTAAGGCCACTGGATCCTACATGACCAACTGCACAGTTTGATTCTCAGATCCAGTGGCTTGGAAAACACGCTAGGCACGTATGCATGTGTGCCCAATATCCTGGGAGAAGAATGGAAGAAATGGGATTGCAGCATGGCCATCTCCCATGGGGTGGGGGTGGGGACAGGGATGCTTTCTCATTTTCCTCCTTCTCTCTCTCCTCTCTTCTAACTTTCTCTAACAAGTGCTTATACCCTGTAGCAATTTTTTTTTTAAAAAAAGGGAAAAAATATTCTTCCCCAGAATATATTGCTCCTGACATTTTATTGAGACATTGTCTGCTCTAAGGCACTATAGCCAGTCAATGAAATGCCAGTTTTGGCCATTGCTAAGATGACAGTGTTTATTGTCATTTCTTCCGTCCACATCCTTTAAGAATTTTCTGTGAATCTAAATGCTTTTGGCTTTACACACATCTTCTCGCTAGTGAAAGTTAGCTTCAATATCTTATTCAGTAATAAGGTTAAACAAATTTGTCTGCTGAGGCTTTCACCAAATGATCAGAACTCCCCTCCAACACCATCCATTTTGTAACAACACTAGGGATGCTCACTCACCTTTGGCATGTCAATAATTGATGGTCTGGGAATGGAAGTCTGAAAAGCAACTACTTCACTGTCTAGTTCATCTTCCAGGGAGGTGGGTAAGTCCTCAGGTATCTCAGCAGGCTGGACAGTGGTGTGGTTACTGGAATTCTGATTTGCACTGCCATTTTTCTCTGCATGGCTGCCAGAATCTTGCCTTCTATCTGAAGCTCTTTCTTCTGCTCTCGGATGACTTGGGTGTCTGCCAGCTTTAGCTGTGGGTTGAACGTAGATGGTGGAATGGTTATCCCCTGAGCTGGACTGATCAAAGGGAGCATTCTCCCTGGTATTCCCAAAACAAGCCAGCAGAGCTGAGCATGGAAACGGATGCATCCTTCTAGACGGAGACTTCAGTCTTTCGGCGAGCCTTGCTTTCCACGTGGACATGACCAGCAGTGAGACATTGCAAAACTCAAAGGGGGTAAGAGAATTTTCCAGGGGTCTAGATCATCTTCTTATAGTAATCGTTTCCTTGCCTGAAGAGAAGGGCTTGCTAGTGGTTGCTCCTCAATAGAAGCTGAGCAGGTGGCCAAGCCACCTCTATGAGCATCACTCAGCAGCTGGTCTACTTCAGAAACATTCATCTAGGCAATTTCACTTTCTTCCTTCCTTGATGCCTTCAGTGGCTAAAGGGAGCTGTTTGTGAGCCATGTGGTTGGCTCAGTTTACAGTCCCCAGGCAGGGCAGACACTTCAGTGTAAAGTGGTGCCAAGTCAATAGACAGTTGCTTCAGGTTACCTTGGAGGCATAAAGATAATGTAGCCTGATATTATCCACATAATAGCGTCAGCCTGTGTATCAATAGCATCATAACAGTGGCAAGCCCTTCTTCAGTTACCTTCTTCAAATATTCATTCCCCCAAGCAAAACAAAAATGACCCTGTTATCTATCACATATGAAGACCCCTAGAGGGGCCACAACCCTAGCAACTGTTTCATTATTAACATAGGAGGTAGATTAGAATCCTTTGCATGGAAAGATCCATGTTTGGGTTTGATGTAACAAGGACTTTTCTGCGTCTTTTCTGAATCTTTTTCCCAAACAAGTTTCCTGCTTCAGGAGCCACATTGCCCCTTTGGGTAACTACAATGGGTCTTTGTTAGTTTGTCTTTCACTATCCCATGCTAAGTTCTGGTTTAGTTTTCAACAATACTGAAAATAAAAAATAAATAAATAAATAAAGTGCTCCACATTGACAATTAGCATTAGGTACGATGTGTGAAGGTATTATACATGCATGGAAAAATGTTCATCTATTGTACATATTACCTAACTTTAGAAAGTAATCCCCTTTGGAAATAGATCTTTTATTTCTTGATACATTAATAGGTGAATGGTGAAAAAATAACTAAGTTTTAGATTGTCAGGAAAGTCATGGCTTATTTTTCTGTTTTTCTATGCAAAAAATGTGTTATGGCTTTCCCAGCAACTCAATATAACCATTTTCTAAGACAATGCTCAAAATCAAGATATTTTTCCTTAGCCAGGTGTCCATTAAGAATGTTGTGGAAACATATTTCTAAAACGGTTTCATCACCCATAGTGACTTCTGGGTCAAGATTTCAAGATTTTAGCCACTCTAATTTGTTGGGTTTTCTTTTAATTTAATGTCAACATGAGCTCTTAAGCCCAAAGAGGTGGTAATTAGTATGATACTAATCCCCATTTTACAGAGGCAGAAGCTAATTTTTTGAAACTTCAAGTGACTAAGGCAAGGCCATGCTGCTAAGATGGGCTGATTGGAAGCCCAAAATTCCTGCTCTCCTATCTGGTCTCTGAGTCTCACTTGATCTGACAACCATATTATTGATGTAACAGCCATACTGGAAATACTGTTCTAAACAGGCAGTCATATCCATGATCGGCAAAGGCAGATGTGGCTTAAGAAAGAGTGGATACAGTGTCAAATGCAGACTTCATTACCAAAAGTTAGAAATAGAACATTTAAAAAAGGTGCCATTTACTTAATGGTCACTATATAGCAGGCCCTGTGGTCGCCAATAAATAAATAAATAAATAAATAAATAAATAAATAAATAAAATAAACTTATCTGTGGTCTATAAAAAAAAAGATTTTTGGACTTGCACGCACATGTTCTCAGATCCAGTGGCTTGGAAAACACGCTAGGCACGTATGCATGTGTGCCCAATATCCTGGGAGAAGAATGGAAGAAATGGGATTGCAGCATGGCCATCTCCCATGGGGTGGGGGTGGGGACAGGGATGCTTTCTCATTTTCCTCCTTCTCTCTCTCCTCTCTTCTAACTTTCTCTAACAAGTGCTTATACCCTGTAGCAATTTTTTTTTTAAAAAAAGGGAAAAAATATTCTTCCCCGGAATATATTGCTCCTGACATTTTATTGAGACATTGTCTGCTCTAAGGCACTATAGCCAGTCAATGAAATGCCAGTTTTGGCCATTGCTAAGATGACAGTGTTTATTGTCATTTCTTCCGTCCACATCCTTTAAGAATTTTCTGTGAATCTAAATGCTTTTGGCTTTACACACATCTTCTCGCTAGTGAAAGTTAGCTTCAATATCTTATTCAGTAATAAGGTTAAACAAATTTGTCTGCTGAGGCTTTCACCAAATGATCAGAACTCCCCTCCAACACCATCCATTTTGTAACAACACTAGGGATGCTCACTCACCTTTGGCATGTCAATAATTGATGGTCTGGGAATGGAAGTCTGAAAAGCAACTACTTCACTGTCTAGTTCATCTTCCAGGGAGGTGGGTAAGTCCTCAGGTATCTCAGCAGGCTGGACAGTGGTGTGGTTACTGGAATTCTGATTTGCACTGCCATTTTTCTCTGCATGGCTGCCAGAATCTTGCCTTCTATCTGAAGCTCTTTCTTCTGCTCTCGGATGACTTGGGTGTCTGCCAGCTTTAGCTGTGGGTTGAACGTAGATGGTGGAATGGTTATCCCCTGAGCTGGACTGATCAAAGGGAGCATTCTCCCTGGTATTCCCAAAACAAGCCAGCAGAGCTGAGCATGGAAACGGATGCATCCTTCTAGACGGAGACTTCAGTCTTTCGGCGAGCCTTGCTTTCCACGTGGACATGACCAGCAGTGAGACATTGCAAAACTCAAAGGGGGTAAGAGAATTTTCCAGGGGTCTAGATCATCTTCTTATAGTAATCGTTTCCTTGCCTGAAGAGAAGGGCTTGCTAGTGGTTGCTCCTCAATAGAAGCTGAGCAGGTGGCCAAGCCACCTCTATGAGCATCACTCAGCAGCTGGTCTACTTCAGAAACATTCATCTAGGCAATTTCACTTTCTTCCTTCCTTGATGCCTTCAGTGGCTAAAGGGAGCTGTTTGTGAGCCATGTGGTTGGCTCAGTTTACAGTCCCCAGGCAGGGCAGACACTTCAGTGTAAAGTGGTGCCAAGTCAATAGACAGTTGCTTCAGGTTACCTTGGAGGCATAAAGATAATGTAGCCTGATATTATCCACATAATAGCGTCAGCCTGTGTATCAATAGCATCATAACAGTGGCAAGCCCTTCTTCAGTTACCTTCTTCAAATATTCATTCCCCCAAGCAAAACAAAAATGACCCTGTTATCTATCACATATGAAGACCCCTAGAGGGGCCACAACCCTAGCAACTGTTTCATTATTAACATAGGAGGTAGATTAGAATCCTTTGCATGGAAAGATCCATGTTTGGGTTTGATGTAACAAGGACTTTTCTGCGTCTTTTCTGAATCTTTTTCCCAAACAAGTTTCCTGCTTCAGGAGCCACATTGCCCCTTTGGGTAACTACAATGGGTCTTTGTTAGTTTGTCTTTCACTATCCCATGCTAAGTTCTGGTTTAGTTTTCAACAATACTGAAAATAAAAAATAAATAAATAAATAAAGTGCTCCACATTGACAATTAGCATTAGGTACGATGTGTGAAGGTATTATACATGCATGGAAAAATGTTCATCTATTGTACATATTACCTAACTTTAGAAAGTAATCCCCTTTGGAAATAGATCTTTTATTTCTTGATACATTAATAGGTGAATGGTGAAAAAATAACTAAGTTTTAGATTGTCAGGAAAGTCATGGCTTATTTTTCTGTTTTTCTATGCAAAAAATGTGTTATGGCTTTCCCAGCAACTCAATATAACCATTTTCTAAGACAATGCTCAAAATCAAGATATTTTTCCTTAGCCAGGTGTCCATTAAGAATGTTGTGGAAACATATTTCTAAAACGGTTTCATCACCCATAGTGACTTCTGGGTCAAGATTTCAAGATTTTAGCCACTCTAATTTGTTGGGTTTTCTTTTAATTTAATGTCAACATGAGCTCTTAAGCCCAAAGAGGTGGTAATTAGTATGATACTAATCCCCATTTTACAGAGGCAGAAGCTAATTTTTTGAAACTTCAAGTGACTAAGGCAAGGCCATGCTGCTAAGATGGGCTGATTGGAAGCCCAAAATTCCTGCTCTCCTATCTGGTCTCTGAGTCTCACTTGATCTGACAACCATATTATTGATGTAACAGCCATACTGGAAATACTGTTCTAAACAGGCAGTCATATCCATGATCGGCAAAGGCAGATGTGGCTTAAGAAAGAGTGGATACAGTGTCAAATGCAGACTTCATTACCAAAAGTTAGAAATAGAACATTTAAAAAAGGTGCCATTTACTTAATGGTCACTATATAGCAGGCCCTGTGGTCGCCAAACTGTGTTCAGGGTTTGTTCCAGGGTTCAAAGTTCCCTCTTCTTTTAATACTCAAGTGTGAGCAGTTCAAATCCCCCTCTCACAAGGGAATGGGATGCCCAAGCGTGTACTAGGCTCCATCTCCAGGAATTAATGGGGGTCCATAAAAGCTATGTTTTGTTTCTCATCTAACCTGGTGGCTATCATCCACTCAAGCAGCATCATTCCATGCAAATTCCTTCCTCAGACACCCCCTTCTAAATGTTCTTACAGGAAGCTATGTGCAGTGGGTATGCTCAAGGGGTAGCCCCCTGAGAATGAGTGTTGCTGAGATATCTGACACAGAATAATACTGACAGGTAATTGTCATGAATCGCAACAAATGAACTCATTTAATCCTCATAACTCTAGGAGAAAGGTGATATTATTATCCTGTTGTTACCCAGTAGGAAAACAAGATGCAGAAACTTAAGTCACTTGCCCAAGGTCACAGTACTGCTAAGCAAGAGAAGCAGGCTGATGAGCCCCAGCAACCTACCCCAGAGCTCCTGCCTTTAATCAGCGTGTAATACCATATTCCAAATATACATACACACTCCAGAGAGGAAGTTTCCAGCCACCTTTCACCCAACACTTGACCTCCAATAATTTATTCTATAGATATACATGTGTATAGAGGCACATTCATAGCACCACTGTTTGTAAAAACAAAATTGTTATCCAGTAG